CCTGGTGCAGATTTGTCATATAGATACGGCGTTTATCCTCAGATGCCCTCCCGTCCCGTGTGCTTTCAGAGCAGCCGAGCAGAGCCGCTGTTCCTGTGAGTCACACACTCGCCAAACACACACACTCAACAAACACACACACTCAACAAACACACACACACTCACCGAACACACACGGCCCCAGTGAAGTGCACGGACTCCCCGGGGCGCAGGAAACCACACTGATCAAATCACTCAGCGCCTGACGGGCTTTTGTGAACAAGAACGAGGTAAGTACACGTGACGTAACGATAAATACAGTTTGTGTCGGCGACGCTCGTGTGTAAAAATATAACACAATAACACGAGCACGTTTGACCCGCTTTATTCTGCACGGCAACAAAAAAAAACAATGTCTAGGTGAGTTAAAATGACTTAAATTAAGAACATTTGACTTTATTTGAGTCGATTTAACTTGACAAAACAAATGATCTACCAGTGGAACAAGTGCAACATTCGATTTTGTTTCTTATTTTAAGTGCAGCAAGATGTAATAAACATATTTAAATACAAAAAGTCTTGTTCCATTTTACTTGTCAAGCAAAATTTACTCAAATCGTGATCAAACTTTCTTAATTTAAGTCATTTTAACTTGACTAGATTGTGTTTTTGGCAGTGTAAAACTTATTTTGACATGTTATTCGTCATCGTTTTTGCCTAGAATGTTCCATAGTACGGCATTAAACGTGTTTTTCTCCATGGAGATAAACAGGTGATGAAAAAAAAAACATCTATGTGCATTAAAATGACTTAAATTAAGAATATTTGGCTTTATTTATGTCAATTCAGCTTGACAAGTCAAATTATCCACCAATGGAGTAAGTGTGTTTTCTTAATTCAAGCAACATTAGATTTAGTTTCTTATTTTAAGTGCAAAAAGTTGTTGTTTTTCTTATTTTAAGTGTAGTAACATGTAATAAACATATTTTAAATACAAAAAGTCTTGTTCCATTTTACTCGTCAAACGAAATGAACTCAAATCGTGATCAAACTTTCTTAATTCAAGTCATCTGAACTTGACTAGATTGTGTTTTTTGCAGTGTATAACTTATTTTGAGTTAAAGGTGCACTGTGTAACTTTTCTGGTGGAGCGTCTGCCTTGATTTTCACTTTGGAGACATCATTTTTTGTCATTGTTTTGACTAGAATGTTCCGTAATACGGCATTAAACATGTTATTATCCATGGAGATAAACAGGTGATGAAAAAGTTCACACTGCACACTGGAAAAAAGCAATATTTAGGTAAGTTAAAATGACTTAAATTAAGAATATTTTACTTTATTTGAGTCGATTCAACTTGACAAGTCAAATTATCCACCAATGGAAGAAGTGTGTTTTTCTTAATTCAAGCAACATTAGATTTAGTTTCTTATTTTAAGTGCAGAAAGTTGTATTTTCATGTGTTAAATACAAAAAGTCTTGTTCCACTGGCAGATCATTTTACTTGTCAAGTGAAATTGACTCAAATCATGATCAAACTTTCTTAATTCAAGTCATCTGAACTTGACTAGATTTTGTTTTTTGCAATGTATAACTTATTTTGACATGTGATTTGTCATTGTTTTGACTAGAATGTTCCATATTACGGCATTAAACATGTTTTTCTTCATGGAGATAAACAGTTGATGAAAAAAACAACATCTAGATAAGTTAAAATGACTTAAATTGATAATATTTTAGTTTATTTGAGTTGATTCAACTTGAAGTAAAATGATCCACCAGTGGAACAAGTATGTTTTTCTTAATTCAAGCAACATTCAATTTAGTTTCTTATTTCAAGTGCAAAAGTTGTTGTTTTTCTTATTTTAAGTGTAACAAGATGTATTTTCATATTTTAAGCACAAAAAGTCTTGTTCCATTTTACTTGTCAAGTGAAACTGACTCAAATCGTGATCAAACTTTCTTAATTCAAGTCATTTTAACTTGACTAGATTGTGTTTTTTGCAGTGTATAACTTATTTTGAGTTAAAGGTGCACTGTGTAACTTTTCTGGTGCAGCGTCTGCCTTGATTTTCACTTTTAGATGTCATTTTTTGTCATTGTTTTGACTAGAATGTTCTGTAGTACGGCATTAAACATGTTTTTCTCCATGGAGATAAACAGGAGACTCCACTGAGCTGATCCAAAACAGAAGAACATTATTACAATATCTCCATGGAGACCAGCAGGTGATGAAAAAGTACACATTGCATCTTTAATTCTAATGTTTGTGCCAGATTTTGTTTTACACTGCAAAAAACAAAATCTAGTCAAGTTCAGATGACTTGAATTAAGAAAGTTTGATCATGATTTGAGTAAATTTCACTCGACAAGTAAAATGATCTGCCAGTGGAAAAAGACTTTTTGTACTTAAAATATGTTTATTACATCTTGTTACACCTAAAATAAGAAACTAAATCCAAGTGTTGCTTAAATTAAGAAAAACACAGTAGATAATTTGACTTGTCAAGTTGAATCAACTTAAATTAAGTAAAATATTCTTAATTTAAGTCATTTTAATTTACTTAAATATTGGGGTTTTTTTGCAGTGTGCAGTGTGAACTTTTTCATCAACTGTTTATCTCCATGGAGAAAAACATGTTTAATGCCGTACTATGGAACATTTTAGTCAAAACAATGACAAATGACACCTCCGAAGTGAAAATCAAGGCACACGATCCACCAGAAAAGTTACACAGTGCACCTTTAACTCTGGCAACATATCAAAATAAGTTATACACTGCAAAAAAACAAAATCTAGTCAAGTTAAGACGACTTGAATTAAGAAAGTTTGATCATGATTTGAGTAAATTTCACTTGACAAGTAAAATGATCTGCCAGTGGAACAAGACTTTTTGTACTTAAAATGTGAAAATACATCTTTGTTACACTTAAAATAAGAAAAACAACAACGTTTTTCACTTGAAATCAGAAACAAAATCAAATGTTGCACTTGTTCCATTGGTGGATAATTTGATTTGTCAAGTTGAACCGACTCAAATAAAGTAAAATATTCTTAATTTAAGTCATTTTAACTCACCTAGATATTGTTTTTTTTCCAGTGTGCAATGTGAACTTTCTTCATGGAGATATTAATGTTCTTCTGTTTTGGATCATCTCAGTGGAGTCTCCTGTTTATCTCCATGGAGAAAAACATGTTTAACGCCGTACTACGGAACATTCTAGTCAAAACAATGACAAATGACACCTCCGAAGTGAAAATCAAGGCACACGATCCACCAGAAAAGTTACACAGTGCACTTTTAACTCTGGCAACATATCAAAATAAGTTATACACTGCAAAAAAAACAAAATCTCATCAAGTTAAGATGACTTGAATTAAGAAAGTTTGATCATGATTTGAGTAAATTTCACTTGACAAGTAAAATGATCTGCCAGTGGAACAAGACTTTTTGTATTTACAATATGAAAATACATCTTGCTGCACTTAAAATAAGAAACACAACGACTTTTTACACTTAAAATAAAAAACAAAAAAACAAAATTGAATGTTGCACTTGTTCCATTGGTGGATAATTTGATTTGTCAAGCTGAATCGACTCAAATAAAGTAAAATATTCTTAGTTTTAAGTCATTTTAACTGACCTCGACATTATTTTTTTCCAGTATAATTTTGTTTTCAGATAAAGCACTAACACTGCAATGTGATTTGTGAATCTCTGACCCAGTTCCTTTCAGTCGTCTGTTAGACTGTGAACTCCCTGCAGCAGTAAATATCAGAAATATGTTCCAGTTCATCTCTTAAAAACCTCAAGTTGTTTCTTACCATCACCTGTTATATTTCATAAAAAGTAATTAAAGCTTTCTTAAAAAATCACATCACATCAACACTATTTGTGTCATTTATTCTGTTAATATCGTCTGTATTATTGTGGATTAGTTGTTTTTGTGGATTTTTTCTTATATCATGATCTAAAATTTGGCTAAAATTCTCATGAAAGTATCTCCATGGTTAAATTTCATAAACAGTGTGTTGAATAATAAATACTGATGTTTTTTATTATTGAAAAAAAACCTACCTTTTACCACGAATGAACACCTTTTATTTTCAAATGCTGTAACTCCAAAAAGGATGGGCCTAAAAGTATAAATAGAATAGTATTTCAGAATCCAGTCACGTGACAAACTGACTAAATATGGGTCAAGCGTGTTAAAAAAAACAACAAAGAAACGTGTGTTAGTTTTATTACAGAAGAGAAAGACTTAGAGGGAAAAGGGAGGAGATGGAATATAGTTTTTTACATGAAACGATAAAGATTCTGCTTAACCGAAGTGGCCCACACGAGTTTAAGAGTTGAATTTTAATGAGTTTATAGATTTAATTTGGAAAAAGTACAAATAAATGAAACATTATTTGTATCCTTGCGCAGTTTTAGCACGGGTTTGCCTCTTTAAATCTTTCATAACAAAAGAACACAAGCCTTTTGGAAGAGAGATATATAGAAAATGTATATGCACAGAGAAATATTAGTAAGCATAAAGTAAATTTGAATCTGGTCTGGATGAAAAACGGTGCGTCTTGCTTTGGGTTGTGTGTGTGTGTGTGTGTGTGTGTGTGTGTGTGCTGCATGTGCCTCACGTTATAAATAAAACGTGGAACAATGAGCATCAAAGCGGAGAGTGTTGACATTTGTAAAAACCGTGGCTCTGGAGTCCTCCCGGCGCCCCCCCCCTCCGCGCGCACCCACGACCAATCAGTGCGTGTCGTCAGCGGGGGGACATAACAGTGACAGCGGCGGGAGGAGAGCGCAGAGAGGGGGAGAGAGAGGCTAAGTGCTGACCCCTCCCAGCGCTGCCACTACCACTACCACCGCCGCACTCTGACGCGCTCCTCTCCCGGATTGGATCGCATCCCCGTCTCCCCTGCACCACCACGACCACCACCACCACGACACTCACACACACACGCGCGAGAAATCCTCCCGGTCATCCCGCTTCCCAAACACGCACGAGTCCCTCCATGGAACGCCGAGAGGAAGTGGTGATGCTCGCGTCCGGAGAGGGGGGGCGTCTGGCGACAAGCTTGGCCGGAGAGGCGCAGGGGAAGCCGGGACACAGAGGCTGCGTGAGCCCCTACTCGTCCAGGGACACGTCCGAGGAGAGGATCCGGAGCGTGGGCGCGTCCTCGGCCGGGGCGGAGATCAGCAGGCAGCCGGCCGCCGGGGAGCAGGCGCACAAAGACGGCAGCAGCTCGGACCCTGAGTCGGACTTCTACGAGGAGATAGACGTGAGCTGCACGCCGGAAAGCATGGACTACCCCTCGGCTAAAGGTACGACAACGACACGGTGCATCTCTGCTTTGATTTTGGTCCTTCTTGCTCACAACAAGACACCACACCAGCCTCTAACCCCTCAGCAGTCCAAGTTAGTAAAAATAAAGCTGTTAAAACGCGTTTGTTCGACTTCCTTAACTGCATCTTTACCGTAAACCGACGTGTCTCCAATTACGCGTAAAACCGTTTATGCGTAAAAATTCAGGTTCCCAAAAAAAAAAAAAAAAAAAAAAAACGTGAGCACGCACTGACAGTTCCGCAGTCAGCTGTTGTGTCAAGTGCTCCCGGTGCGCGCGGAGGTGACACCCACATCCACCACCAGGCAGGCACCCAAACTACCAAACTGGAGCGCGCGCAGACGAGGGTACAGCGCACGCAGGCGGAACACGTGCTTTGAAATGAATGTGTGCGTAAAAAATTGTACGTGGCCGCAGGAATCTGGAAGCGTATGAGTGTGTAGCGCGAGTTTGTGGTGGTGTTTTTGTGCAGAAATCTTGGAGGAGCATTCCTTTCCATTTACTGGAGCGTAGGAGGAGAAAATACAGCAGCTTTTACGTGACAGTTTTGATCAAATAATTACGCACGGTTGTCAAATCGTTTACGTAACGACTTTCTCTCGCCTTGTTTGTGTTCAGTGTGCTCCTAATATATTTATTTATGAACTCAGATCGTTTTAAAGCGATGCAAGCCTTGTTGTCAGGCCCAAGGCTCCACTGACAACAAGCAAGACACGACTGAGTGACAGGTGGAAATCCCTGACAAATCGTTTCGCTTTTTTGTGGGTTCTGTTCGTGTTATAATGTTTTTTGTCATAACTATTGCTTATGCTTTATTTATTTTTGGTAACTTGTGGGTTATACATTCATAAACTGTCAATATTTCTTAAATTGCATCTTAAATGTATGAAGAGGGTTTTGTTTTAGTGTGATTAAAGGGAAGGGTAGGAGCAGATGTTTAAGAGGCATTTTGGGAGTGTTTTATGGAAATGTTACAACTATTAATCGCTTATTGAAAATGTATGACAGCAAATTAAAGCTTACTAGGACAAATTACGTCATTGTGCTTTGCTGTCAGTCAAAACGAAGCAAAAGTAGCCCCTAAGAAACAGCGGAAATGTTCTAACGCGTGACCCTGGTGTTTGGAAACCCCGCAGGTCCAAACGGAGACTCCCCGCACCATCACCACGCGGAGAGCAGCTCGGATCCGGGGAAGGCCACGCCGGGCCCGGGCTCCCTGTCCTACGCCGCGGACCAGATTCGCAGGTACCGCACCGCCTTCACCCGGGAGCAGATCGCGCGTCTGGAGAAGGAGTTCTACCGGGAGAATTACGTGTCCAGGCCGCGGAGGTGCGAGCTGGCGGCCGCGCTCAACCTGCCCGAGACGACCATCAAGGTAAGCTGTCAGTCCACGGTTCAGAGTCGCAGAAACACCAAACTGACCCAGCTACAAAAGAATAACATGGCCTGCAGCATAAAAGAAGGCCCACACGAATAACTTCTTACGCTTTCCTTTGGATTTACGCAATGATTTTGGACAATAGTCTTTGTTTTGTAGCAACACACTTTTGGTTGTTGCTCTATTGTTTTCAGATTGTAGAATGGGATAAAAAGAGTGGAATGCCTCTTTTTCAGAATAAGAGCAGAAGCCAGTGTTGTTCTATTGGCTATAATGAAAAAATATCCCAAATATCCATCCAAAAATCCAAATTCATCCACCAAAATTCATTCAACCTCTCCTAGACACAGGCCTACTTTTCCTCACCAGTTCGCAGTAAAACAAAACAAGAAAACAAAAAAAAGAGGGTGGAGTCTAGCCTATACTATATTTATTTTTAATCAAATTGTGTGAGTCTTGCCATCTTGCCAACGACTGCAGGGGCTAACACAACCACAGCAAACACACAGTCCCACTCTGAATCTGGTCAAATGCAGATTAGCTGCGATGACAGGCGGGATCGAATCTGTTTAACAAGTCTAATCAGCGGTGGGTGCGCGCAGTGACACTTTGTGCGTCCATTAGTGGCCAAATTACTGTGCCAAAAATACAGGATTATTAAAACAACAGAAAGTGCTCATTCTTTTGATTAATTTAAAGCTATACCAGTCTAATTTAAATGCAGGTTTAGTGTTTAATGTGTCTCTAGGTCTGGGAGATAAGTGCGTAAAAAGTGCGTGCGTAATGAGCGTAATCCGCCAAATTAAACAAATTTTGGAGACAGTTAAAGTGAGTTATTATTTAAATGGTGGAATTACGTAAAGTTAAATCATGCATTTTACAAATAAAAGATCAAAGGGTTCCTATAACATATTGACAAAGTCTCCACTCAAACAAATTATCTTGGTGAGTGCATCTTTGTCATCCTCTTTGTATTTGGTCGTGCGTAAAAGCGGAACTCCCCGTGCGTATTTGGCCACTGCCCATGTGTTAAGGTTAATGTGTAACGGGCTGTGTCTCTGCCTCGTCCCAGGTGTGGTTCCAGAACCGGCGGATGAAAGACAAACGGCAGCGCCTCGCCATGACGTGGCCCCACCCCGCGGACCCGGCCTTCTACAGCTACATGATGAGCCACGCCGCCGCCACTGGGAACCTCCCGTACCCGTTCCCCTCGCACCTGCCCCTGCCCTACTACTCCCCGCTCACCTCCGCCCCCGCCTCCTCGCCCTTCCCCAACCCCCTGCGCTCCCTGGACGGCTTCAGGATGCTGTCTCACCCGTACCAGCGCCCCGAGCTGCTGTGCGCCTTCAGACACCCGTCCCTGTACCCGGGCCCGCCGCACGGCCTCGGTCCCGGGGGCAGTCCGTGCTCCTGCCTCGCCTGTCAGTCCAGCAGCCTCGCCTCCAGACCGGCCCCGACGCCCGCCTCGGACTTTGCGTGTTCGCCCACGAGCAGGACTGACGCGTTTGTGACGTTCACGCCCGCCGTGCTCAGCAAATCCTCCTCGGTGACGTTGGACCAGCGAGAGGAAGTGCCCCTCACCAGATAAATATTCAGAATCGCGGAGCAGCATGAAAAACTGTGCGGACTGTCGCGCTATTTTCAGACAATGCGAACCAACAGGGGCCTCGACATGGCGCACGCTGAAATGGAAAAGCTCTTATGATTATTTCTCGTCTTTCCACGCGTCCGTATCACAGCCCACGCGATGTATTCATGCTCTTCTTTAACAAGGAGAGGATCTGTCTCATTAGACGTGACTGGGGGCCCCCGCGCTCTCCAAAAAGGGCCCTTCAAATTAGTCGTATGTAAGGCAGGGGGCTCCGATTCTGAATTAATGATAATACCAGAAGAATAAAGATGGAGATGGAAATGGCGGTGTTCGGTAACAAGGCGTCAGGGGAACGGATTACAGTGAAACCGGGAGAGGACAATCATACGGGAACAGCCCTCCTCACGCCACCGAACCCGGATACAGATACGTGATTAATATATACAGTATAGAAGCATATGTCCACTTATTTTTATGGCTTCGTGACGCTATTATTGCAGAAAAGACTGTTTTTGGTTTTTTTTTTTTTGGTTTCGTTTTGTTTTCTTTTCTTGGATGGGTTGTTCAAATTTGCAATAAATTGATTAAGAATGAAACGGAGGTGTTGTCACGTCACGTGTAAATGAACAAAAAGGGGAATCCATGTTCAGTTTATATTATTATGAGTATTTCACGATTATGTGTTCACGAAAATTAACATAGAAAATCATTTAACTATAAGATGCAAATAACTAGGGGTGTAAGAAAAAAATATATTCAGTGATATATCGTGATACTTCATGGCACAATTCTCAAATTGATTCAAAATAGATCCAAACTGATTTTTTAAATAATATTTTTTCACAAAAATTCATTAGTTTCATTCACAGTTTGATTATAAAAAAGGTAATACGTGATACTTCATATAATTTTGTTCTCATGAAGGTGTTGTTGACTAAATTATTAGCAGTAATTTTTGATTAATTGCAATATACCATGCGCTGTTTTAATATTGGATATATTGTGATATATTAAATCGTGACATGGGTATCATGATATGTATTGTATCGTCAGACTCAAGACAATGCACACGCCTACAAATGACACCAGTTCTATATTGCAAAAAAAAATGGAAATGATAATGACTTATAATGTCATATCTGAGCAAATAATATTGATTTAGACCAGAAGTGTTTATATTTACAGTGTAATAGAATTTCAAAAAGCAAAGATGCGTCTGTGTTCATAAGAAACACATGTTTGAAAATCAATTTGGGTAATTTGGTTGAAAAAATAGTATAAATTCCACAGATAGTGTATCTTAAATCAAACAGAGCTCCAAGATTTTAGTGGGTTTCCTTCAGAATCTGAATCTCAAGCCTGTAGTTTTAGTGAAATTGAGATAGTTAAACCTTTGAAATATGAACGCTCTTCTATACATGTAAAATAATTTAATTATAAAACATTTATACAACAATTAATTCTTATAAAGCAAACAGAGAATGAATGAAACAATTATAGTTTCTGCTCTGGGCTCAAACGAATAAAACTAAAATGGATGACGCTGGATTTGTGTTACCAAGAATGTACCACCGCCAATGTGACAGTGACCCAGTAAAGCATTTAAATATAATATACGATATAAAAATAATACAAAAATAATACAAAAATAACATTAGCATAAAAATATTTATAAACGTACAGGAAATGATAAAGGCCCATTCATCTTCCAAAAACTCTACGTGTTTAATGGCATAGCGTTTACTGACTGACATCGTTACAAAAACGCCATTATTTACGCATTTACTGATATAAAATGTTTGGTTTAGGCGTGTTTTTTATTTTATTTTTCCTCAAAACAAATAGAAAAACGCGTTAAACCAATTCTCATAACATAACACAAAACCAAATAGCGTGTGTTATTTTGTTATTTCTTCATCCCCCTGCGATGGAACTGCGTAAAATCGGTCACGTCCGGAACAATTTCGCAGTCAAAACAGTTCCGAGAGACAAAGCAGCTCATGAGATTTTCATTAAAGCTTTTCGATAGCTATTATAACCCCGCAGAGCCCCGCACCCTCCGCGTAATAACTCGGAGTGGTCGCTGTCACCGCTCTCCCGATGGCGCCGCTAGATTGACCGTGACACTTAAGTGGTCCCCGGGCTCCGTTAACGCCACTCATATTTCCTCGCGCTCGTTTAATAGACAAGACAGAAATGAGTTGTCGTATCGGAAACGGTAAAAAGAGAGAGATCGATGATTCGGAGAGGCAACCAATCAGCGGCCTCCTTTAATTGGCTGCGTTTGACCGCTGCAAATTAAACGGGTGTTCCGCGCGTAATGGGATTGGAGAGGTCACTTGGGTGCGCAAAGAAGACATTTGGATTTGGTTTAGGGGTGATTCTAAGTTATGATGGAAGTGTGTAATGGAAAGCTGCGGGGAATTCACCTGGATATGTGGATATGGCGTTTTTTTTAGCAGACCTCTCCATAAACGTGCCATGCGTAAAATGCGTAAAAGCGGCGTTCCAACCCAAGTTCAGCCTTTGTTCATCTAGAAAACCAACAATAACGCTTACAAAATACTGAAAATACATAATTTACATCTAAACAACCTATGTATTTACTATTAATTTGAGTTTGTGACATACTTTTAATGCGAATGCTGAAAATATGGATTGTTCAAGCGATAAGTGGTGCGTAAAAACGACTGAACATTTGCGGTTTTTAAGCTCGCTGGCTAAATATTTATAATTATAATAATGAAAAGCAATAACTAAAGGTTTGATTAGATCATAAGAACCAACAGAACCGAAGATCTTTGCTCTATTTGTAAATCAGGAGAATAAATTAAGTTATTACTCCACGAAAGACAGTTAATCCAAAAAGACGAAAAAGAAAAACAAAACAACAAAAAACAAAACCTTAATCTTACAGTACTCTTGAAGAACTGAATCTACAGAGCAAATTAACCTTCCATTTTCCTCTTATATAGGTTTCAAAATGATAAAAATATAGAATTAGGACGTTGCTATAGTGATTAACAAATTAAAACTATACGTGTTTTCGTTGCAGTGAAGAAAAGGTTCTTGAAATGATGCGTAAAAACGAACAGAAACCATTAAATTCCAGATATTTTTTTGGAAATAAGTTGGTTATCAGTGGTTATTTAAATATTTTGGAGTACAATGCATAAAAGTAAAACAGCATTAGGCCAGTAGCACAATGGATTTATGGTATAATTCAGTCTAGAGTAGCAAAAATTATTATTAAGCAGCTCTAAGGGTTCTACTTTATGGGGCTTTGCAGTCGTTTCTAAACACTTTAAACATTATACTCACAATTTTACTTCAAAATACGGTTGTTTTTATGTTTATTACAAGGCACAATGACTAGTATTTAACCAAAATCATGTATTGTCATTCATAAAATCCAGATTCTCAATTCTGTGCCACAAAAAACAGTGTGTACTCGCTCTTCGAAGCCTTATTTAAAAAAAGACTCGGGCAGATTGGGTCTTGTTGTTACTGGTGCTGTGACATTTAGCCGATCCAAATTAAGCCCAACGCAAGCCGGTCTCCTCGCGTGGTGTTTTGACATAATTCATATTTTTTTCTTCTTAAAAAGGCGCGCGCTATTGGCTCCGGCATCTCCTCTCCATACGGCTGTGGTAAAGGTTGCTCTGCGTCTCCTCTCCTCCTTCCTCCATCCTTCCTCCTCCCTCCTCCTCCCACCTTCCCACTAAGCGCGCGTGATTGATGGCCTTATTAACTGCGGTTCTTGTAAGTGTGACCGGGCTGATTAAAATGCATATGTTTGGAATAATACGCCGTTTAAGCCCCGCGTGCGCTCCGCTAGATTTATGTAAACTATCAGACGCAGTTAGGCCGCGGGAAAGGGATAAAAGGGAAAGCGAACGGTGCGCGCGCTGAATAACAACACCCCCCCCGACTTGCGCACGTCGCGTCACGTCGTACCGTAGAAGCCCGCAGCTGATTTCCATACGATCAAAGCTCCGGACGCTACGTGCATATGGCTCTCAATCTGCTCGCTGCGTAAACACGTAAACGCGCGTATTCTCTGCGGCCTCATCCAACTCCCGGGTTTTAACGACGCGGCGTAGATCGCGTATGACCGCGCTTCAAGGAGGTGCGATTGGCTCGTGGATCGCGCGCATAACCGCAATTACGCGCGCCTGATAGGATGCCATTAGCGGGGGGAATTGGTGAGCTCGTGGGGAGGGGGGGGGAAGGGGGGGGACGGTGCAGATGTCCGAGCAGACAGGCAGCGCTCGTTGTAGCACGAAAAGATGCCGGCGAATGGATGTGTGACTGCTGCTGGAATTGGATTATAGGAGCTAATTTACAGGCCGCGGTCGTATAACGCGAGGGGCTGGCGGAGGCGTGCGCGCACCAATCGCCGCGTAATGATGATGAATGGGAGATTAATGCGCCGCACAAGCAAGACAATTTAAGCCTTCATCTGTTTAAACGCCGGGCCCGTCCAATAGCCTATCATTTGGAAACGGAGGTCACGTTAAATCAATGGCAGGAAAGAGAGAAGAGGAGGAGGAGGGGGGGACGCGTGAATGTCGTTCCGCGGAGAAGTCTTTATCAACATTATTTACGGCGCACTGGAGACGGCCATATGCGGCGCGGCGGTGGAATTGGCCCCTGCTGCTGCTGCTGCTGCTGGTGGTGCTGGTTCTGGTTCCACGGGCTCACGGGGACTGGAAGAGGGATGAGGAGGATGAGGAGGGATGCGGTGTAACGCGGGCGCCGGGCGGATGGAGATGGAGATGGGAAAAGCACTTCATGATCTGCAAATAGAGTCAGCCTCGCGTGCGCGCAACCGTACACGCGCTGTCAAACACGAGGCCCCTGAGCTCTGAGGGGCCCTTTCGCAGTTTAGCGCGAGGGAGGGAGAGCGCGTTGACGTAATGGATCGAGCGTTAACGCCGTCACCGCTCGGCAGATTTAGCTCAATGTATTAAACCTTTACGCGTGGGATTTCTTGC